CCTGAAACACATCATAGCTCACATAAGAGGAATATTTTTATGCATGCCTATAACGGCCTATTAAAAGAAACGTTCCTATAATGAAAGGGTCGCTTCAATGTGAAGGTAGTGCATTGAAGATGATTAATGGTAGTATTAAATATGGAGATCCTGACTCATGTGAGAGAAGACAGAATTCAGGAATTATAAGCCAAGTTTAGGAATGGCACAAGAAAGACACAAAGAGAAATTGAGATGCTAAGCAGACAGTATTTATACTGTGAATCCCAGTTTAATTTCTAAGAAAAAACAAGAAGTAAAAAAAGAGCCTCTTTAAAAACAAACCAGATCACCTCCTAGCAGTTCCTCCCTGCTATTTTGATACCAGTGTTGCAAACATGGTATTCATCATCCATGATGAGCTGTATGTATTGACAATCTAGGTTGACAGATGGATCTGGGAATTTCAAGAGTCGGGCTGTGTCTCCGAACAACTTGGCGAGGGCCAGTTGAAGGGGTTGCTATTTCCATGAGCTGGGTTTTGGAGAGAATCTTCTGCCACGTGTAGTCTGATGCGCCCTTGTTGTGGAGCGGACAAGTGAAATGCATCTTCCTGCAGTCCTCAAGTCACATCTGAAGTAGGCATGACCAGAAACACCATTTAGTATCCACACATCTTGTTCTTTCAGATACTGTATTTCCACAGGGTCACAAATGAAAAAGGGAGAAGTTAGGATTTTCCTAGTCCTTCCAGTGATGCTCAGGACTACCCCTGTCTCTAAAACAGCTGAAGCCTGGGTTCTAGTCACCAAGATACAGGCTTTGAGTTTTAAAGAAACTTTGATGTTCAGTTATGTAATAACAGATTTTATAAAAATCTACCTCTTCTTCCCCTTACCCCCGAGAAATCATGAAGTCAAAAGAGAAGACTATTTACTGACAACTTGAGTGTGCAAAAAACCCCCCCTCAAATTCCTATGTCATGGTGCTCCTTTAGATTTAGGGGCTACCATATACAGCATACGAGGAAGCGGTAGACTGGCAGCGTTGTATTCAGAAGGGAGACAACATCTTTCAGGCTCTGAAGTTATCAATTTATTATCGTATTATTATCATTATATTAATTTCTGTTGATACTGTCGGCAGATAAACGTGACTTCTTGTTGGGTTGTTTGTACCAAATTCATCAAGATCATGATCTTGATAAAGGAATGAATCTGTTACATCCCACAGTTTCCTATATATGTTTGCTATCTGACCTTTAATGTATGTATCTTATGTAGGAATTGGCCATCTTTCAATGACTTTCTTGAGCTGTTTTTGCATATTTTTGTTCATGTTGAGAGCTGCAGTAGCAAATTACGCTTTCCTTTTTTGCTGCTTATATATACCTTGATACTAAAAAGTGCTGACAGTGTGCAGCATGCAGATGCTCTATTCCTACTACTTTCTACTTCCATGGCACTGCTTTTCATCTTTATGTATTTTTCAAACTATTGATTCTTTGTTTTTAACATTTCCCTTGTGAATCTAACGTTAAATCTGGAATTTGTGTTTCACTGAGCATACGATGTGTATTTTCTGGATGTTATATTTATATACAACTTACCCTACTGGATGGGCGTACTCTTCCCTGGGTAAAAAACTGGCTGGATGGCCGGGCCCAAAGAGTGGTGGTGAATGGAGTTAAATCCAGTTGGTGGCCGCTCACAAGTGGTGTTCCCCAGGGCTCTGTATTGGGGCCAGTTCTGTTTAGTATCTTTATCAATGATCTGGACAAGGGGATCGAGTGCACCCTCAGTCAGTTTGCAGATGACGCCAAGCTGGGCGGGAGTGTTGATCTGCTGGAGGGCAGGAAGGCTCTACAGAGGGATCTGGACAGGCTGGATCGATGGACTGAGACCAACTGTATGAGGTTCAACAAGACCAGGTGCCGGGTCCTGCACTTGGGTCACAACAACCCCATGCAATGCTACAGGCTTGGGGACAAGTGGCTGGCGAGCTGCCTGGCTGAAAAGGACCTGGGGGTGTTGGTCAACAGTCGGCTGAACTTGAGCCAACAGTGTGCCCAGGTGGCTAAGAAGGCCAACAGCATCCTGGCTTCTGTCAGCACTAGTGTGGCCAGCAGGACCAGGGCAGTGATCGTCCCCCTGTACTCGGCACTGGTGCGGCCGCACCTCGAGTGCTGTGTCCAGTTCTGGGCCCCTCACTACAAGAAGGACCTTGAGATGCTGGAGCGAGTCCAGAGAAGGGCAACGAAGGTGGGGAAGGGTCTGGAGCACATGTCTGATGGGGAGTGGTAAGGTTGTAGTGAGGTGGGGGTCAGTCTCTTCTCCCAAGCAACAAGTGATAGGACAAGAGGAAACGTCCTCAAATTGCACCAGGGGAGGTTCAGGTTGCATATCAGGACGAATTTCTTCACCACAAGGGTTGTCAAGCACTGGAAGAGGCTGCCCGGGGAAGTGGTGGAGTCACCACCCCTGGAAATATTTAAAAGATGTGTAGACGTGGTTCTTAGGGACATGGTTTAGTGGTGGACTTGGCAGTGCTAGGTTAATGGTTGGACTTTGATGATCTTAAAGGTATTTTCCAACCTCAACGATTCTGTGATTCTATTGCATAGTATATTCTAGTGGGAACTTAAGTTATATTGCTGCAGTATTCTGCTATTGCTTATTCTCTGTCCTAAACTGACATATTTGAAGAGAGAGATGCTTCGCATGGCAAGCCCTATTTATTGTAAGAACTTGTTGGATTTTTCAGTGTTATATCCTATTCTCAGGGTGTAAGAATATGCATTTAATAGGAATGTATGCTTGGGGATTTTGTAAGTCATGTGTTTTGAAACACAGAAGATACGTCCTTAATATAGACTGATTTTTCTGTAATTGCCTTTTGTCTGTCATAAGCTGTAACTCCAGTAAATACACTGCTACCACTAGTGTGAGTTATAAATATGTTATTAAAGGAAGGTGATATTCCGTGTCTCCATGGTGAAATTTCAAAATATTTGGAAATTTAAATAACATACTTTCATGTCTTTGTCCTCTGATTATGTCCTTTCAGACTCTAAAAAAACCTAAAATGTTGCTTGGCCGAAAGCTATTCTAATTGAAATTAAAGGCACAGCAAGACCAATGCAACTGCTAATCAAGTAAATATCTACCTCTGTCCTATATTACAAGCAGGTTTATAAAAATAACAGCAAATTAGAGGTTCGTTGTGAGGTATTTGCTATTGCAGAAGACTCTTCAATCCATGCGTTTTTCCCGTTTTAGAGCAAAATGCAAACACATTCACTCTCGCTGTGTACCTTTTACTTCTCTTTTTAGATGAGTGATGGAAAAATAAACATGAAATGAAAGCATGTGGTGATAGTTTATATCTTTACAAGTCATCTAGGAAAGGGTGTAGAAAGAAGTGTTACTGTCATTTCACTATACAAAGCACTTTTTCAACCTTCTTGGCTGTTTTAAGTGAATTTCTGTTTTGAACATAGCAAATACTGTGGATACAAACCTTCAGCTGCTTCAAAAGGAAAGGCAGATGGACTCCTCATACTGTAGGTGTACTCTCTTTGAGATTATTGCCTTTGCATCTGTTTGACCTGTGTCAAATCAAAGGAGCAAAATCCAGTGCTGCAATCTTAGGTGAAGCAGCTGTCTAACTGACCATCTAAATAATCTCAGAAGTCAGTAGGGTGATGGGTGCGACTGAAATTAAGTATTTGCTTAGGTATGAACAGGGTTTGCATTTAGCTATGCCCTTAATTAAAAATTAATGTAAAATGTCAGTGTCCAAGCAATGTGGATGTTAAAAAGACAACAAGGTGTATTACAGAAAAAGCAGTGCAACTGCTCTACAGATAGCCTTTGAGTTTGGTTTGGTAATTCACTGCTTGCTTTTTTCTGATGAAACTGCCAGTAGGTAGGCCAGTCTTTGGGTGGGTAGAAATAAACTTCGACATGAGTATTTAAGATTAGATCACCAATTCATTTATAGAGGCCAGTATTTTTTTGGAGGAGGCGTGGAGAGTTTAGTGCTAATTACTCAGTCTTGACTGTT